GTGGGTGTTCGTTTATCGCACCGAACGTTCCCAGCTGGCGAACGTTTGGTTATTTTTCCATAGTGCACATCTCTGTCGATGACCTTCAACGATGTCCCTCCCGTGCATAATCATAGCCTTCATTCATTCGTTCACCGTTTCGTTGAATTTATCCCTGAGAAGATCATATTGCATGCGGAAGTGTAGACGTTATTGGTGAAACGCTCACTAGTTACTGAACTTATTATATGAAACTAGCTCTAATAACAAATATGGACCTTTTTCTTGAACCTTTTCTCTTGCTTTCATGGATTCTTCATCCTCAATAAGTTCGAGTTTTCATTTGGTAGTAGTGTGCAGGTTTTCGGATGGTGAGCGTCCCAGTTTTTCATTTTATAGCGTTCCTCTGAACTTTATACCGTCTCACATTTAAAGTCTACTAGTTTGCTTATTCATTTGTTTTTATTTACTACTCTCAAAAGGCGCCCGTAACGAGCTAAAAACGCAGCACGCAAACACGAAACAGGAACGGAAAAGTTATTGGTTGTCTTATCCTGTGTGGGATTGCTTTCATACTTTGTCTCAGCGTTTCAAGGATATGGCCAAAATTATAAGGTATCGATTATCGCTGAAAAGGCTGGTACGCCCAAAAAGCTGCTATACACTCAAAACACTGCCAAGCGCTCAAATCGCTGCTGCCGCAAAGTATGAACGCATTCTGAGGTCTGTGCGAGACTATGTTGTTCGGGACATAGGCTGCTTGAGGGTTACAATTCATCTGTCAATGGGATGCTCTCTCGCTGCGAGGGTCCAGACGTGTTTTCTCATCGCATCTTCTGGTCCAGCATTCGGAGGAAAGTAAATAAAGAGGAGGGATGATAGAAGAGGGGAAGAAAAGGAAGGGAAGGAAAATGCAAGGAGAAGGAAGGCTTCGCGACTGACAGATATCCTGAGACCCTTGCTTGAGGTAAGAGTTACAGAGGGGGCCGCCCGAAAGCCCTCCCCTCCTCTCCAACTGATTTTTTTACGAAAGCGCCTGTTTCAAGTCGAGAAGCGCCTATTTAAGTATTATATTGATGCTTGAGTAAAATTCATAGCAGGAAGTTTAAAAGAACTGCAAAGAAAAGCTCAGCGAACACTTTTATTGGTAATTCATCACTGGGTTCATACTCTCCTCGTCTCTCTTTATTGAAGGCTAGAAAAGAAAACAAATGCATTGAAAAAAAACTAGTAGAAAAACAAAACAGTTCTACATAAAACAACTGTAGTATCACTCGCGAAAATACTCGCATATTTTCTCATATTTCAGTAGAAATCCCACATGGTTTTTTGCTATGTAAATGCTTCTGATCGATAATTTCACGAATCATTCACGGGACCTTTCTTGAAATGCTACTCATGACTTCGACTTTTTTTCTGGCATCGCTTTCTATCTATTGGAAAAGTTACTGTAAGGTTACTTAGTGGTTTTTTCTGCTTTTCTTACTCTGTGATGAGGTTCTGGTGCTATGATTTGTGGCTCCTGCGCCTTATCTTGTACTTTTGACGTCTCGGCGCTAATCACGTTGGGAGCCTTTTAAGTGCTTCTTGCGTAAAATTAAAATGCCATAATAGGGATAAACCCTTCAAATAATATTAATAGCGAAGATAAACCCCTTGATGAACCCCTTGATTTCTTGTTCTTTTGCCTGCCCAGAGGCGGAAGGGGCTACTCGCTAGGTAAACTTATTCCAAAACCGATTTGCATTCTTCTCGGAAAACGTTTCCAGTTTTGCACAAAGACTAATTCAAATGCCCCTCCAGTGTCACTGGTGCCGAATTTTCTGAAAATCCAGACATCTAGGTAAGTGAGGTGATGCTGATTCCCTCAGCTGTTGAGGTTTTTCATTTGAAGCCAGCTTCTATGGCTTCAGCTATGCTTCATTGTTTAATAATTTACTGAAGCACTTGCTTATTGACAGCTTTTTCATCGTTTATTTTGTTTGTCAGTAATTCTCTTGCATGTGCACAAGACGCTTCTTTACAACTTTTGTTTGGCAAGACAGGTCTTGATAGCCCGAACGGATATCCTCTTAACGGTGGTAGTTTTCGTACTCCTGTGAGAAGACATCTACTTATGCAAATAATTCTGGTTGCGGTGGGAGATGACGTCATCTTTTGTTTACTTGAAACTTCGGTTTTACTCTTTTCGGTTCTTTTTTAAGGCGGGATGATTACTGGCCCGTAGGATTCCGTTGTTATCCCCTAGCTGCGCTTTGCTTGCGGCAAAACTTAACTCATCCTCCCTTCATTCTTCCCTGTTCCTTCTTATATCCTTTTTTCCCTTTCCGGTTTCACTCCTTCCCAACCCAGTGCACCAAGTTACCAATATACAATAAGCCATTGGGAGTAAATACTGGCCGTGATTGTAATTTCTTTCATAGGCTCATCTAAGGATCAGATAAAGGTGCCGACAAGGAGGGGCATTTTGCACTTTCGTTGCTTCGTACAAGTCTCACTCTGGAACCTGTGAACTGTTGTGAAGCTGGAGCAAGCTCGCCAAGCCATCATGGTAAAACCTGTCAATTCGAGAGGTTGTCTAGATAGGTCGACACGTCGATGGTAAGTCGTTGAAGTGCAAAATGCCCCCCGTCGCCAAGTAGATAAAGGCTTCTGGATTCTTGCAGCGGGGAAATTTCCGGTTGATGTACTTTCTGACCGTCTTTTCTTGGAAACGCGTCAGAGTTTTCAAGGATTATGGGATCTGGCTTCACTTCAGAGATGCTCCCACGCGTCTGCTGTTCTTATTTTGAAAAACTTAGTTTTTTTTTAATTTTCTTCGCTTTGATTACAATTCCTCTTTCATTTTCTGTAGATCTCTGGTTTTTGAAGTCACTCAATAGTTCCTGTATCTATAGTTCAATATTCTTGGGATGAATGCCTCTATTCACTCCGTGCTGCGGAAAAAAAACTAGTAAAGCCTCAAACTTTGCTAGGTGACGTACTTATTTCGTACTGATCAATTCATGTGTGAAACTAAATCATTTTTTTTTCTGCGCCAATTGCACGGCATGTATAAAGGGCAAATGTACTATGTGACTGCACTAGGAGATAAGTAGCGCACTTC